CGGCCGCTACGGACTCACAGGCAGGTGCCGGACTGGTCTGCACTACTCCGCCGTATGCTGCATATCATTGCTATGGATATGTCTGCTATTCATTATCCTCTGTTTTATGTAACGGACGTCAAGGAGGTGCTGGAAGCCATCAAGGTCGCGGGACTCGCCTGCCACCCCAAGAAATGTCATTTCGGCTCACTGACCGTGCAGTACCTCGGTTTTGAAGTTGCGGAGGACGCATGAGCATCCAGGAAGCGAAAGTGGCAGTACTGGATCGGCTGGCCATACCAGACAGTCGCAGCACACTAAGGGCCATCCTGGGCTTCCTAAATTACTACAGGAAGTTCGTCCCGAACTTCAGCAATCGCGCGGCGCCTCTGAATCAGCTGCTGCGAGAAGACGTGGCGTGGAAATGGGGTGAGGCAGAGCAGGGGGCACTACGGGAGCTGCTGGAAGCAGTGAAATCCGGGCCAGTACTGCAGCTGCCCAAGCCAGACGGGAGGTTCACCCTCTACACAGACTGGAGCAACGCTGGCATGGAAGCCGTGCTCTGCCAGCAGACAGAAGCAGGAGAACGAGTAGTGGCTTTTGCCAGCCGGGGATGCAACACGGCAGAGGCTAACTACAGCTCGTACGAGGGGGAAGGCTTAGCGGCGGTTTGGGCGGTCACGCACTTTCGCGTGTACTTGCAAGGCAGAGAGTTCACCCTCGTGACAGATCACCAGCCGCTCCTCTGGCTCATGAGCAATCAGACGCCGACAGGCCGCAACGTGCATTGGGCCATGCGGCTTCAGGAATTCGACTTCATCATCAAGCATCGCCCGGGGCGAACACTACAGCATGTGGACGGGTTATCACGCAACCCCCCACCCCCGGAACCTGTGGCCAGCCTGGTGGCGCTGGCCCGAGAAGTGGAGCGTCAGGGAGGACTGCGGGAAGAGGCGAGGAGCGCACCGGACATCTGGGAGGACCAGGAGACTCTGAGGTGGCTGCGAGGAGAGACGGAGGCAGATGAGGTGATCTCAAAGAGAGCCAGGGCATGTGTCCCCACGGTTCTGGAGGTGTCCAACACCCACCAAGTTCCTGGAGAACGAAGGGATGTGGAGACCAGTGAGGGAACCTGAGGGGACAGTTGGACACGGGAGCGTGGTAGTACTGCGAGCGAAGGGTGGTCCAGAAGTAGGATCAGCCAGAGCGACAGTGACTGGTGCTGGAAGCGGCGTGACAGTGGTGTGGTTACAGAAGAATCACTGGAACGCACCGTAGTCAACGGTAGTACCATCTGGGCTAGCAACAACACAAGCACCTACACTAGAAATAGACACAGGTCCTAGTCTAGGTACACGCAAGCAAACAGGTCTAGCAGCATTGTAGTCAACAACATACATGGCAGAATAGACATCATCAATGGACATCTCAAACACATGGTAACAACGACTAATCAAAGCGGGACAGTGCGGGTGGGGGGGGAGGGGGGGGGAGGGCGGGTGAGGCCCTTGACGCTGGCAAAAGAGGCCGTCGAGGCGACTAAAGCAGCGCAGCGCAGAGTGGTCGAGACGCCTGCAAGTAGTGTCAGCACCAGGGCCGGTCAAAGATTTGGTAATGGCTGGGACCAACGTCGCAACCACTACGACGAGGCCCCCAGCCAGGCCACTGCTGTGTACATCGTGAAGATCCATGACTGAACCGCCGTACTATCCCGCTGACATGGATCAAAGGCCGGGGGGTGCTGGGGCTTGAGTGGCATGGGTGACGCAATCACTGACTTGTCGTTTTCAATCGTGACATTGACGCGAGGGCAGCCCTTGCGAAGTGATTCTGCCACAGTTGTCCTTTTGGGGTGTGTCGTATTGTGTACGCTGCGGGCTTGTTCGCACGCGGCGCCATCGCTAGTGGCAACTCAAGAATTGGGATAGAGTTGTTGTCGTCGGTGCTGCTGGCGGTGCTTGTGTTCGTGGAAGGTTTGTCGTGCGCTGAAGGGACTCCCATTCCCTTGTCAGTGTTGCAATTTCTAGATAATAATCATGCGGTTGTTGTAGCAGTTCATCTAGGTGCTCTTGCGTGAGTACGGTGAGACTACTTAGGTCACCCATCCTGAAGGGCGTTGGCTTTCCTAGGTGTTAGGCGCAGTTGTGGCAGCACGTGCTTGCGTGAGAGCACGAAGACAGAGGCTCCTAGTACGTTAATGGCGTTTGCTCCTTCGTGTGAAAAAAACAAAACTTTGAGGGGGCTCGTAACGCAAAATGCGCGGCCCGAGAAGGAAAGGGGCCCTGATAGGCAAGAATTACGGATGCAATCGAAAGAGTGAGCGAAGATTGCGCTAATGAGGCAAAGAATACAAATGTGAGCTAAGGCATGAGCGAACATTGATATGCGAAGTATGCAAACGGTAACAAGGGCTTTGCGAGCTACCTAGTGCAGTACTGGCAGCTAGGTTTGGACTAGCCCCAAAGAGTAGGCCCACTCGGCCAAGTACTGCAGTGCGTGGTTTGGTAAAAATGACGCACGAGGTGGCAAACACAGTTAATAAGGAACGGGCGAAGAATGGTCGACCAATGTAAGGAATTCGGACAAGTTCCTTACACATAATCATTCGTAAAAATAGTGCTGGAGGAATAATAGGATTCAAGAAGGTAAATGCGTGAAAACCCCAACAATTAGGGTGCGAAATGTCCAAACACATCGTAATGCACGTGAGATATTTTTTAGTATTTTATACCGAAGCATTTTCTTGATTATATTGTGAATTGATATGCTTGGCGTTACAGCATAGTAAAGATCGATATTGCACACGATCAAATGATTATCGAGTCACGATCTTAAACTAGCCGTCGGCAGGAACATTTTTTGGATTACTATGGCGCATTTTGTAAAGAACCAACACCTCGACCTCACACATTGTGATATGTTCAAGGCATTGCGGCAGAGGCATGGGCGCAAAAGAGCAAAAACATCTACTCCCTTTGCCATCAGCTGCGCCCAGTTGGGGACAGCCTGCTCATCTCCGTACTCGGCCACCCAGGCATCCGCGAGACGGCCGAAGCAGCGATGCTCCGTGTGCCCAGTCTTCCCGCAGGTTTCACCCTTGCGGAGACCCGTGCGCCTGACATAGGAGCATCGAATAGTGCCCCCTGGGGAACCACGTTGGACAATCCACTCACGAAACTGCTGAGGGGTGGGGTTGTCCGGGAGGCGTGGCAGCTGCGGACCACTCCCATAAACTCCACCGCCACGAGCGGAGCCCCCATAGCCGCCACCCCTGCCAGCTCCACCCCGACCTCCTCCACCGCCCCCGCTGACTCCACAACCACCGCCACCTCCACCACCCCCGCTGCCTCCACCACCCCCGCTGCCTCCACCACCCCGTCTGCCTCCACTGCCTCCACTTCCATAGCCACCCCCACCGCCTCCGCCCCTGCCACCACCACCCCCTCTACCACCACCACTAGTGCCGGCCCCACCACCCTTACCCCCGTTGCCCTTGATGTTGTTGCGCCTCCCACTAGGAGCAGACGCAGCGCCAACTTCCTCAGCATCAAGGAGGTCGACAGCAGCAGCAGTAGCAACTGAGGGGAAGAAAGGGGAGGGAGCACACCCTTCAAATAAGGGGAGCTTGGAGTGCCGCGAGAGGCAGCTACAGCGTTGGTACTCTTCTCAGCCTCAAGAAGAGACTTCTCGAGCGAGGCAAGTGTGAGTTCAGTGGGGTCAAGGGCGAGAAAGTGGTCCCTGATAGTGCGAAGGGAGTCAGGGAGGCGAGTGACGAGGAAGTACAGGGTGATATACAGCGGGGGGGGGGTCGCAGCGAAAAAGGTAGGCTTGAGAGCGGCGCGGTAGCGAGTCCCACTAGAGCGAAGGTGGATCATGAGGTCAGAAAAAGTGTGGAAATCAGCTAGCTCAGGAAAGAGGTACGGCATCATGAGACGGTCTAGGGCACCAGTAGCGAGGGAGGAGTAACGAGCGACAATGGCGTCATGGAGAGCTTTGACTGTCTTCTGCTGGCTAAAGTGTGCCTTCTCAGCTACCGGAAGGTGGTTGCGGACAGCAAGGCGGGCAGTAACATCACGAATGAGCCACTTCGAGTGATCCGCTACCTCTGTGTCAGCTGGGGCTAGGAGGGATCCGGACGTATGTGCGAACAGTGAAATGCCATCCCTAGCCTCGCTCTGCAGGTACAACTGGAGATCATCGAGCCAATAGTAGCCATAGTAGCAGTAGCAGCAGGAGCAGCAGCTGCAGTAACAGTAGCAGCAGGGCAGTGCGGCTCAGTAGGGGCAGGGCAGCGCGGCTCGGGCAGAGCGGCGCTGCTCGGCAGGGCGGCGCGGCTCGGGCTGGGCAGGGCGCAGCCGCAGTAGCGCTTGCAGCAGCAGCAGCAGCAGCTCAGCAGCAGGCAGCACTGGTGGCAGCAGCAGCCTAGTAGTAGCAGCAGCTGAGCAGTAGCAGCAGCGCTGGCGGGTAGGGGCTCAGCAGGGCAGAGCGCAGCTACAGTAGCGCGGGCAGCAGCGCACTTAGCAGTAGCAGCAGCGCATGCAGCAGCGCGCTTAGTAGCAGCAACAGCTGCGTAAGTGACAGCAGCAGCAGCGCGCAGCAGCGCGGACGGGAAGGGCGCAGGCAGGGTGCGCATGGGTTGCGCGCGGGCAGGGCGCAGGCCAGGCGCAGGCTGCTGGCGGGCAGCACGAGCTGGCAGGGGCGCAGTGGCGCTCGCGGGTAGGGGCGCAATGGCGCTTGCGGGCAAGCAGAGCGCTCGCGGGCGGGCAATGCGGTAGGTAGCAGGCAGCGCCGGCTCGCAGGGCAGGGCAGTCGCGCGCGTAGGTAGGGGCAGGGGCGTAGCAACTGGCAGCCCGCTGGTAGCGTGTGGGTCGCGCACAAGACAGGAGAGGGGTGATCGCATGGGGCATGGCGGCTCTAAGGGGCGGCCTAGTCGCGATCGATAGGGGTAGGTCATTAAAAAAAACGGTGGGCCCAAAAGAAAAAGAAACGATCATAAGGATCGGCTAGCTCAGAATACCATGTTAGAATCTTACGAGAGGAATGGTCGATTAGGTAAGGGGGGGGGGGGGGGGGGGGGGTACAAGAGTGTCGAGCAATTTATTGTAACCTCTAAAGATAACCCCTACATAGCATAGAATGACTAAAAGCATGTAATCGTTTGACACCGCTCGCTGGCACGTGGCGGCGGCACGCCCCCTCCCCGCCCGCTTGCCCGCCCCGCCCGCTTGCCCGCGGCCGGCGGGGCGCCCCCTCCCCGCCAGCTTGCCCGCCCCGCCCGCTTGCCCGCGGCCGGCGGGGCGCCCCCTCCCCGCCCGCTTGCCCGCCCCGCCCGCTTGCCCGCGGCCGGCGGGGCGCCCCCTCCCCGCCCGCTTGCCCGCCCCGCCCGCTTGCCCGCGGCCGGCGGGGCGCCCCCTCCCCGCCCGCTTGCCCGCCCCGCCCGCTTGCCCGCGGCCGGCGGGGCGCCCCCTCCCCGCCCGCTTGCCCGCCCCGCCCGCTTGCCCGCGGCCGGCGGGGCGCCCCCTCCCCGCCCGCTTGCCCGCGGCCGGCGGGGCGCCCCCTCCCCGCCCGCTTGCCCGCCCCGCCCGCTTGCCCGCGGCCGGCGGGGCGCCCCCCTCCCCGCCCGCTTGCCCGCCCCGCCCGCTTGCCCGCGGCCGGCGGGGCGCCCCCTCCCCGCCCGCTTGCCCGCCCCGCCCGCTTGCCCGCGGCCGGCGGGGCGCCCCCTCCCCGCCCGCTTGCCCGCCCCGCCCGCTTGCCCGCGGCCGGCGGGGCGCCCCCTCCCCGCCCGCTTGCCCGCGGCCGGCGGGGCGCCCCCTCCCCGCCCGCTTGCCCGCCCCGCCCGCTTGCCCGCGGCCGGCGGGGCGCCCCCTCCCCGCCCGCTTGCCCGCCCCGCCCGCTTGCCCGCGGCCGGCGGGGCGCCCCCTCCCCGCCCGCTTGCCCGCCCCGCCCGCTTGCCCGCGGCCGGCGGGGCGCCCCCTCCCCGCCCGCTTGCCCGCCCCGCCCGCTTGCCCGCGGCCGGCGGGGCGCCCCCTCCCCGCCCGCTTGCCCGCCCCGCCCGCTTGCCCGCGGCCGGCGGGGCGCCCCCTCCCCGCCCGCTTGCCCGCCCCGCCCGCTTGCCCGCGGCCGGCGGGGCGCCCCCTCCCCGCCCGCTTGCCCGCCCCGCCCGCTTGCCCGCGGCCGGCGGGGCGCCCCCTCCCCGCCCGCTTGCCCGCCCCGCCCGCTTGCCCGCGGCCGGCGGGGCGCCCCCTCCCCGCCCGCTTGCCCGCCCCGCCCGCTTGCCCGCGGCCGGCGGGGCGCCCCCTCCCCGGCCCGCTTGCCCGCCCCGCCCGCTTGCCCGCGGCCGGCGGGGCGCCCCCTCCCCGCCCGCTTGCCCGCCCCCGCCCGCTTGCCCGCGGCCGGCGGGGCGCCCCCTCCCCGCCCGCTTGGCCCGCCCCGCCCGCTTGCCCGCGGCCGGCGGGGCGCCCCCTCCCCGCCCGCTTGCCCCGCCCCGCCCGCTTGCCCGCGGCCGGCGGGGCGCCCCCTCCCCGCCCCCGCTTGCCCGCCCCGCCCGCTTGCCCGCGGCCGGCGGGGCGCCCCCTCCCCGCACGCTTTGCCCGCCCCGCCCGCTTGCCCGCGGCCGGCGGGGCGCCCCTCCCCGCACCGCTTGCCCGCCCCGCCCGCTTGCCCGCGGCCGGCGGGGCGCCCCCCTCCCCGCCCGCTTGCCCGCCCCGCCCCGCTTGCCCGCGGCCGGCGGGGCGCCCCCTCCCCGCCCGCTTGCCCGCGGCCGGCGGGGCGCCCCCTCCCCGCCCGCTTGCCCGCCCCGCCCGCTTGCCCGCGGCCGGCGCGGCCCGGCGCGGCGGCGCGCCCCCTCCCCGCCCGCTTGCCCGCCCCGCCCGCTTGCCCGCGGCCGGCGCGGCCCGGCGCGGCGGCGCGCCCCCTCCCCGCCCGCTTGCCCGCCCCGCCCGCTTGCCCGCGGCCGGCGCGGCCCGGCGCGGCGGCGCGCCCCCTCCCCGCCCGCTTGCCCGCCCCGCCCGCTTGCCCGCGGCCGGCGCGGCCCGGCGCGGCGGCGCGCCCCCTCCCCGCCCGCTTGCCCGCCCCGCCCGCTTGCCCGCGGCCGGCGCGGCCCGGCGCGGCGGCGCGCCCCCTCCCCGCCCGCTTGCCCGCCCCGCCCGCTTGCCCGCGGCCGGCGCGGCCCGGCGCGGCGGCGCGCCCCCTCCCCGCCCGCTTGCCCGCCCCGCCCGCTTGCCCGCGGCCGGCGCGGCCCGGCGCGGCGGCGCGCCCCCTCCCCGCCCGCTTGCCTGTGGCCGGCGGAGCTCGTACTTTTTGTTGACGTTATCGTTTCAAGCTCTAGTTCGAGCAAATTGATTGTGACTTTTTTTTTTTTTTTTTTTTTACATGAACCACAAAGCGTTGGAACATGTGATTGTACGTGTCAAACAGATAGTTTTGGTGCTTTTTTTTTTGTTAAAATCAGTTTGTTTGTGTGTGCGTATGTGTGTGTATGTGTTAATAAGAAAGTGAATATTTATACAGTTGAGATGTTGCTACATGCCATTTTCTGTAAGGAAAATTACAACTCATAACACCGGTGAATGCGACTGTCGCGTATGCGTCTGGTTACTGCGTGGCTAGTTGAGCATTCCTTCCGTAGCAGAACCATTTGGGACCCTTTTCAAACCCATAAACGGCAGTTTTTTCATAGTCGTGCGAGGGTACAGCGCAGATGACACATGAAAGCGTACTGTACATTGAGCGCGGACCTTGAAGCCCTTGCCCCAAGTTCACTTACATGCTCAACTAATACAGTACGAATGCAGGCGAAAGAATGTCAGGTTTACAGACGTTCGTTGGAAAAACTGCAACTTTTGAAAAATACGATGTGTTTGCGATAGTGGCGACTGGGTAACTGATATGGGGAAAAAAAACAAAAACGCGCCCTAATCCCCTACGAACCTGCATCCACGAGTGATGCGTCAACCCGTGATGAAGCTGACCACTGCCTCCTGCAAACCAGTTGCTGCCTGACCTCAAGCCACCCCCCACCATCACCTTCCCCTATAAAATGCCTACAAAAAACCAGTTGCTGTCTTTCAACCCAACTTAACAATTCTGACTCCGCACGTAGGAAGCTCTGCTCCCATCCAATACGTGTAATCGAGCACGTACCGCGAATTTTTTTCGCACGAAGAATCTGAAATCAGGCTTTTGCAGCCCGGCTAGTCCTTCTCTATATGCCTCCAAAAAGCGTCCATGCGAAATCAACTGAAGGTGGTTCAGTTCCGAGCAGGTTAAATATTGCAATATGTGGTCCTGCAACCGCAGGTAAGACAGGCTGCCTGTATAATTAAGTATCGATTTGCGCATGTTCGTTACTAACTCGTCATGTCCACTATTGATCAGGAAAATGACAGGCTGCCTGTATAATTAAGTATCGATTTGCGCCTGTTCGTTACTAACTCGTCATGTCCACTATTGATCAGGAAAATCAACGTTATGCTCAGTCGCATAACGCGAGGTCCCACCAGAACGTAGAGATCAGTTCGTTACTGTGTGAGCCGTTCAACAACGCAGAGATTTTTGCTGATCAAACTTTTCGTATTATGCAGCAACCTCTTATTGTGGTACCTACCACACTGTCTTGAAGTTTGAACGGCGGACTGAGGATTCCGAAATGAAGGAGGAAAAACAACTGGAATTTATATTAATTGACACGATGGGGCAGCAACAGGATGAATCTAAAATTATTTTGTGAGGATAGCCCTGTACCTGCCTTCGTTCTGGCACCTGTGGCTGACGTGGCGCCTCTTCCTGCTCCTGGCGTGGCGCCCTCGCCTGCGCCTCTCCTTCCGGCGTTGTCGTCCCCTGCTGCGGCGGCTGCTGATGCTGCAGTTGCGGCGCCTGCGTCTGGTGTGGCACCACCTCCTGCGCCGGTTGTGCCGCCACCTCCAGTGGCTCCTGTGGCGCTACCCGTGGCGGCTCCTGTCGCGTCCCTTGGTGCGCCGGGCGGGGGGTCTGCCCTTCCGCTCCCCGTGGCTCCCTCGTCTGCACCTGTCCTTTCCCCGGCTGCTCAGCAGCGGAACTCCCGTCCTCATACGCCCTCATCTCGAGATGAGCGAGATGTGTCTCGGCGTCGCCGTGACTCCCCTCGTCGACGGCAGCCGCAGGCGAACTGGCATGCGCACCAGAACGGCTGGGGGGGAGGTCGCGGTCGCGGGCGTGGCGGGGCGTTTGATGGGCCCGTGACGATGGCGGACTTGCAGCGGGTTGTAACGGCTGTGATGCGCGAGGAGAGGGCCCTGCAGGCGAACCAGCAGTTCCCTCGTGCATCTGCCGCTCCTCCTCCTGTTGCACCTCCTGTGACTGCACCGGCGGCGGTTGCTCATCATCTTCCTGCTCCCCCTGCTCCTTATCCGTCCCTTCTGCCCGGTGATTCTGCTCCTCATGCTGCTGGTGCTGCGCAGCCGTTCCAGTCGTTTGTGGGTCCTCCCCGCGCGGCAGAGGTTCCGGAGGCGACCCTAGGGCAGCTGTGGCGCCTCTCTGAGGGTTTGCGGGCTGTGCATCTGATCCAGATGTATGGTCACGCTGGTTTCTCTCGTGGGAACTCCCTGGATAACGGTTCCCGGGATGAGTGTCTTGACGCCACGGATCGGCTCGCGGAGCTCCTGGCGCCCGTGTTGGCTGCGCCCGCGAGGGGAGGAGTTGCCGGCGTTGGGCAGCTGGGGACGGCTGTACGAGGCTTGCGGCGCTTTTCGCGCGCTGGGACTGCAGCCGATGTGATCGGCGCAAGCACGGCGGTGGTGCGGGAGCTTCATCGCTCACTGACGGGTCTTCTCGCCGTCCTTGATGCGGATCAGATGTAGTATCCGCCTCCGCGGGCTCCATGGTAGCTTCCTAGCAGCTTGTACCGTTTGCCATGCTTGTATGCCGTTTGTAGTTCGGATTGCACTTGTCGTTGAGTCCCTTGCCGTCCCCTAGGCGCGGCCGAAGGCCGCGCTGTCGAGCGTCGGTTGGGAGAGTGAATCCACCTCAGAACTGAATAATGAGCTAAAGAACAGGGCAGCAATGCCTTTATACTAGGGGGCTGAGAGGCTAAGGGAGAGGCTAAGGTCTCTCTCTCTCTCTCCTCTCTCTCCCGCTCGGTTGGGAGAGTGAATCCACCTCAGAACTGAATAATGAGCTAAAGAACAGGGCAGCAAGGCCTTTATACTAGGGGGCTAGGGGGCTGAGAGGCTAAGGGAGAGGCTAAGGTCTCTCTCTCTCTCCCGCTCGGTTGGGAGAGTGAATCCACCTCAGAACTGAATAGGCGGTGACATGACGAAGAAGAAAGATGTCCAGCAGGTCCTCCTCACAATGGCCAAGATGCTGTCCGAGAAATTGTTAACTTCCTACATCTGCTTTATACCATATCTTTATGGTATTTCTAAGTGCTAGGCTCTCACCAATCGTTCCTTCATGCACAGAGGGCAATGAGAGTTCGCAGTGGTTGCTGAGGATGTCGTTTTTGAGTTTATGGTTGAAAGAGAACCGGAGTAACTTCATGTTGCACCATGGTTGACTCCCTCAGTTGTGTGTAGCTGGTTGTCCTATCCGTACGCTAATATTGGTATCCATTTTGTTCCTCGGAATGCTATTGCCTTGATTCTAGTCGAGAGATCAGCAAAACCGACGAACATCAACTACAGCAATAAGCTATCAGCAATTCCATTCTGGCATCCCATTCTCGTCAGATCTCTAATAAACTCTTAACTCGTCTCTGCCAGACGCCTTCAACTAGCGTAGATCTGCTCGCCTTCCGCGGATTCAGTATCTTCGCTGCTGGCCGCTGTTGTGACTGCTGCTCCAAGTCGGCCTTCAATCGTTCCCGAACGATCCGCCAAAGTTGGCCAGTTGGCCGACCATTGCGGATGATTAGGCACCCCTCGGGTGCTCGTAAGGAAGTAGTAGGTAAGGACGTATTTACAACCGTTGTTGTGCTTTTCCATGTCGTGTGTAGAGCAAGGATGTGTAGAGCGAATAGTGGGGTCGACACATACGCACGCACGTACACACAGGCTCTCGTGCCTCGTGCCCTCCCTGTCTCCTAATCCAATGTAGGGATGGACGAGTTTTACAGCGCCGATGACTACGACTCAGACTACGACAAAGAATCAGACTACGACTCCTGTTTGGGCGACGAGGTGGAACGTTCCCAGGCGGAAGAAATGAGGAAGACAGGACGCGGAACCCCAGAGGCGGAATGTAGGTGCCCGAGGATGCGAGATGGCTGGCATGCTGAGTGGCTGAAGTTGGATCCACCCAACCTGCGGCGGAGTGGCGCCGAGTTTGACGACAGCACGTGGGTGCGTCCCCTTGCAGTCGAAAGGGATGCAAGCCTGGTATGGCCTCCAGTTGTGATGCTACGGAACGCGTGGGGACCGAACAAGAACAGAGAGATATGCAACCCAGCTAAAGTGTTGGCATGCTCCCTCTGGCCTCCAGTTGCTCACCCCAAACGGTGTATTAATGCGGGGGTGGGTACAGACAAAGACAATAATAATAATCAGATTGGTAATATGACACCCGCTTGGTTGCTCACCTCTCGCTCTTTCGTTGCTCTCTTGCAGCGGAGGGGCTTTAAGAAAGCCGATGCTCGAGGCTGGATTTGCCGCAGGGGTCTGCACGTGAAGCACCTCGTCCAGACACACGATCTCTACGGCAAGCAGCAGGTGAGTATGCGTACCGTCGCTGCTCGTTCCCGCCACCACTCTACCAGCTCTGACTGGGGCTCGCTTGCTGCGTTGCAGGGTGCCACTGCTGCCTGCAGTGGCGTTTGCCTGCTCGTTTTCGAACGCATCTGGAGGGGGTTGAGGGAGGCCGACAAGCTTGCTGAGCTCAAGGCGGCGCAACGAGGAGCGTCTCACGTCTTCAACGGCGCAGCACCCAAGCCTGCCGGCCATCTGTTTGGGAGCCTTGCTACTCCAGCGAATGCCGTGAGATTTGAATTCAACCGAATCCTCCCCAAAGGAACTTAAAGAGGCTGGCAAGAAATCCGTTGGAAACAGCTTTTTCGGCCAGTCAGAGATTGGGACAGCACGACGGATCCTTTTCCCGCTCCTGCTCTCCGTGTGCTCTCTCCTCGAGGGTGGGGGAATAGCGGTGGCGAAGGATGCAATGGCAGGCGGACACAGAGGCAGGCGCTGCTGGCGGCGCCCCCGTCGGGTTGGGGTTACGCACCGAACGAGGGGGAGGGACCACAGGGAGGAAGAGAGCGCCAGGAGGAGGAAGGCGGTTGGGAGGGAGGGAAGGGATCATATGGGCTTGGAGCATGGGGAAACGGTTGGGGCGGAGGAGGCGGTGGTGGTGACACAACACCAGTCCGTGGGAGCTGGGCAGGAAATTGGAGATATTGATCGGACGGGGGGAGGGGAGGCAGGCAAGGGGGAGGAGCAATGCAGGGGTGTGTGAGTGGGGGTGTGGGGGAGAAAGGGGCCAGTAGGCTGAGCAATAAGGAATGCGCAACGCAACGGAACAGCGAGCAGCACCTGCCACAGCTGCCTCACATGCCACAGCTGCCTCACATGCTACATCATCACCAACAGCAGCAGATGTACAACGTCAAGCTGCTCCTCAAGCTGCGCGAGCTGCTTGATCATGATTAAAGACTCCCAGGGACTTGCTCGATTGCCAGCATTGTAGTTACACCACGGGGGCGCATTGCAATTAGAGATCCATCCGACTGTTCATACCCAGGTGTAAGACTGCTCATTTGGAGAAGCAAGGTTGCTCAACCGAAGGAGTAAAGCTGCTCAACCAGTGGAGCAAGGCAGCTTTCTGTGGAGCAAGGCTGGTCACCTTGTGGAGCAAGACTGTTGCTATCAAGGGTGCTATCCTGGAGATGTGGGATTATTCTCCTGGAGGGAGCAAGGCTACTGACACGGTTCTTTGAATGGTGGGAGAACCGAATGATGCTCTGAAGCTCACCGCTGCACCACGACACGACGAAGGGCGCCCGCTTGCGGGTGCGTGCGATGGTTTGTCAGTTCATGGGAGAAAATTATATGTCTCCGTTAACCATACAAGGTCCTTTCAAGAGCCGAAGTTAGGGCGAGCGGGAAGAGATGGGTTTGTGAGGGCCGCAACCCCTCTAAATTCTCCCGCTAGCCAAACGAGCGAGTCAAGCGGTAGAAGACCAATGCTCCAAGTGGATGACAATGTAAGGGCTGGGCTTCATGGCTCAAGACATTACATACTAATGTTGGGTTTGCGTTCCCTGTATGCATAACTGAAGAAAGTGTGTGTTAAGTGACGTATTTTAACCGTTCATATTATTCTTATGCGTAACATGTTATGTTTCGTTTTTGCTAAGCATCATCTTTATGAAGTCTTATTGTATTCGAAAGGTTCAATTTCGTGATTTATAGTGGCTAAAGTCGAAAACCATCCCTGAATATGAAAAGAACATTGAGAGGTATTTTGACCCGCCATAAGGCTTTTTCTTATTGTGTTGTGGTGATTTTCTATCGTCGTGTATGCCCTTGTTGCCGCTTGTTTCATTGGGTTGTTTGTAAGTTAAAATTCTGTAACGAATGTTTCGAACACATCAATGTTCTGGTCTGCCCACAAAAGGAATACACCGCATTCAGTAACGGGACTAGAGCCCAAGCGCGGGAACTTCTGGGGACAGCGCTTCGGCTCAGAGTGAGAAGGCGGGCGTGCATGCATGCTTGTCCTGACTCCTGAGCGACAGACCAATATTCTTCTTCCTCGCCCATCCTCCCTGCTGTTTCCTCGTGAAACTCAACCTTCCACACCTGACTTTGATTGATCGTGTGTATAGCTATCTACGATGATTCGCGGGTGTACTTGTCATGAAACAGACGCGCTTGTTCTGCATACACACACAAAAGAATACAGAAAATATAATATGCACAATTTTCTTAGCATTCGTCCAATGTGCGTACAGAAAGAACTAGGAATACCTGGTTTGGGAAACGTCAAAGTGAGATTTTGCGACTCAGGACTGTTTGTCTCCGGATTCAGTACTCTCAGCGTCACATCGCACTGTGACTTGTTTCTCTGAACGGCTGTAACTGCAAGGGATCAAAACAGGAAAATGAGTGGGTTCTTTACAAGCATGTATATTAGCTTCGCTTGACCTCGTACCTTCAGAGACAGGCATTGGATCTGGCGTTGCTTCACGTGCCAGACAGCGACCAAGAGCGATGCGGTTTCCGCTTTTGCTAAGGTATAACCGATGGGCAATGTCGTCAATCCTCACACTGCACGTGTACGTCAATCAAAAAAGTTAAATTATGTGAACTAAATCCTCCAAAAAAAACATAGGCGTACCTCTTTACAGTGAGAAGTTGCTTTGTCCGTAACCTTAAAGGCCTGCAGTCAAACAGGAAAGCAAATTGGGAGCTACGAGTGTGGCATAGAGCTGCGAGTGTGGCATAGAGCTGCGAGTGTGGCATAGAGAGAAAATAACGGCATACATTCTTGACACGGCTGTTGATATCTGTTGTCCAAAACGAGACACAGATTCACTGGAGCCGAAGATGAATATTCTGCTCCAATATGCTGTATCGCATGTCTTTGTGATATAAGATAAGCAAGGTGGTTGAAATACGCAAGGTGGTTGAAATACTTCAATGCAATCGGAAGTTGTTGAATCTCCCAGATACTGCTTCGACATGTTCATTGTCATCCAAGGTTAGCACTGCTCCACCTCCACCGAAGCAGATTTTGGATAAAGGCAGATTAATAAAATCGCTCATAGTTGTCTCCCTGTGTAGATTGGAAGCAGGACATCAGCGAAGGTTTATACCACACTACCATTCAGGCATAGAAAAGACATGGAAGATTGTAACTTACCCAGGAA